ATGCAAGACACAAAAGGATAGAGGCTCTAACTGATTTAGTAGAATGTAGCTGTGATAAAATCTATGGCAGATTTGAGCCCCATTGTTTGTCTAGAATTCCTTGCAAATATATTCACTGTCTTTGTTAGACATGATGATGATGGTAAAAATTTAAAGGTCTGCATGCACAGGCAGCACATTGGTCCTTACTGCTTGCATTCAAGATATTTATTTCTCCGGTGGATTGTTTCAGAAGCGCAGGATCTCCATGGTGATGGCAGCCCACAGATCAGAAGGAGAAATGGGAGAGAAGGAGGCGGCTGAGAGAGAAAGCCATGATTCCAGCTTATCTGCCACTGTTCCACACTTGTTGACACATATACTGATATGAATTCACTAGGCGGTTAATACACTTTCTCTCCCTGTTTCTGTGCTTCTACTTCTCAGTTCTGGTTGCTCGTCATTCTGCCTTCACTCCCACCACTACTCTTTCTGCTCCTCCTCAGTCTATCAGGTGGCTTATGCTTCAAACTGGGTCACCTTTGTAATAGTCCTCATCCTATGCTTTGAATGCAGAAAATGGCAAGGCTACTTCTTCTTATAATTAAAAGAACAAGAAGACATAAGAAGCTAAAGGCTAAACTGTATCAGATTTTATAGTGCCATCCATAACCCTACACCTACCCTCATCTCTTAAAACTAAATCCCAAGTAGTGCTCAAATCCTCCTTTAAGAGGTTGATATGTCAGCAGTGAGTACAAACCTTGTATCTTAGCATACCACGCCAACAGTTTTTTAGCCAGCTATAGTAATCAGTTAACAATGTAAGAATTGTTGCAATATTTTCATGCACAATGAAATAGAACAATTTGAACATGACTAAAGTTTTGGCATATTGAAAATATTTCAAAGCAAAAAGAAATTTGTACAAAACTGATTCTAATTACCAGATAAAATTGAGAATAAGACACAGAAATAAAATATATCACCCTCACCAGAGATGCTGATTAATAATAAACAAAATCCATCCTTCTGTCTTGGTGCAGGAAGTCTTAATATATCCACTTAGTATCTGTCATTGAGGCCACAAAAACTTTTAACAAAACCAAATCTAAAATGCAGATTGTCGCTAACTTAACTTGGCTGTAAAAGTGTTGCTCTATGCTGATATAAGGGTTGGCCTGCTAGCTGACCCAGTGGGGCAAATCTGAAACATGATTGGTTAAAGAAAACTTTCCTCACTAACATTGTAAAGGTAACATTGATTCTGAAGGCCCTGGGCAGCTTTGATTTACATAGCAACACAATAAGGCTGAAATCTGATCGGACAAAAAAAGAATAGAGACCACATAGATGTAATGGAAGCAGTGCAGCCAAGAAAAATGCTAAAACATGAAGAGGATTGATTGTTTGGAATAAATTAATAAAGTTGGAAAGAAGAAAATTAAAGTCTAGGTTGTTAATGTAGGTTATTGTTTCTGATTGATTTTAGACCAGCAGTGAAGGCCTTGAAGGCCCTGACTCCCCACCACTGCTGTAACAATCACATTATTTTAACTGAGAAATGTGTTCAAACAGTTCAAGAAAAATAGACGTAGACTTAGACTATCTTTATTGTCATTTTGTTCACACTGGGTGTATACAAAACTAAATTTTCTTCAGTACAGCTCTCAAGACATTTCCATTTTCTTAAAGTGCAGCAGTGATAAAATGTAAACATGGGGATTCAAATATAAACATGAGGGGCCTCACTAACATAGTTGCTGGGATCCACTGAGTCTTCTCATCTGGGCTTCAGCACCTTGTATAGCTTTTGGGGAAACTGCCTCAGTAGTATTGATTTACTGACATGGATGAAGAGGAGACCAATATCAATAGGCAAACCTCACCTCAACATGGGCCACTGAGGTACTATCCTGATGTTTTTTTTGGGGGGGGAGGGGGAGACCTGCTGGTCGAGGTGGCCTTGGCTGGTGGCCTCCTCCTCCTCCAGCCGCCTCCACCTCCTGAGGAAGCCGAGGTCCTTTGGAGTGAGCAGAACCCTGCTTAAAACCTTCTATGACTCTGTGTTGGCATCAGCTCTCCTCTATGCTATTGTCTGCTGGGCCCCTGGCAGCGCAGAGCAGGACAGAAAGAGACTGAACAAACTAGTGAGAAAGACCGTTTTTATCCTAGGCTGTGCTCTGGACTCAGTGGAGGAAGTGGCTGGGAGGAGGATGCTGTCCAAGCCTACATCCATCATGGACAACACCTTCCACCCCCTGCACCAGACTGTAGAGGAGCTGAGCAGCTCCTTTAGTAAAAGGCTCTTGCACCTTGTTTGTAAAAAAGAACGCTACCATAGGTCATTCATCCCTGCTGCAACCAGACTTTACAATGCAACACTACAACAGCAATAATTTGTCCAATGTATAATCTGCAATTACTATGTTACCTTGTGTTATAGACTTAGACTTAGACAGTACTTTATTGATCCCTTGGGAAGACTCCCTCCGGAAATTAAGGTTACCAGCAGCTTACATGGCAAAAAAGCATTAAGTTAAATTAAGTTAAAATTAAGCAACAAACAAGTATTAAGTTAAATTAGATTAAAATTAAGCAAAAACCCGTTACTCTATATTTGACACCCAGTGCAACAACTATATATATGAATATAAATATCCATCTCTATAAATATCCATGTAAACACCCTGTGCAATAACCCTGTATAATGATCCTACCATAAAAAAATAAAATAGAAGGATACACTTTATATACTGTATATATTCCATGCACCTTTTTCTTCTTTTGGTACATTCTTCTTCTTTGACTGTTTGAGCTGATGTACTGAGTATATTTCTCCACTGTGAGATCAATAAAGTTAATCAATCAATCACTGGTTCTTGGGTCCTTAGAAGAGTTTGAATCTGCTTTTGCAAAGGTTGGTTTTCTTATCTCAAAAATGTTACAGAAGGGAGACTACTCTGCACAAATGACCTATCCACTACAAGTTTAAAGCAAAGAGAAATACTCTATTCAAACTAGTACTTGGGTTTGAAACCACACGTTCGGCTTTAGATGTAACCCAGCCCAATCTGAAGACCTCCTCCAATTCTTTTAGCCAACAAACATGAAGCAGAATTTTTGCTGTGCCACCCTACATAACCTTTCTCCTTGAGTATTCTCAAATCATTTGATAAAAATTGCATGCCTAGTATGATGCTGGAAATAAATGCTTACTGCTGAGTATTCATAGCTCTGAGTCATACTCTGACACTTCAGAGAATTTTCTCTGGTTCAGTTTCTTATGTTGGAGGTTTTGTCTGATGTGAGTTACTATAGAACTGATTGAAAAACTAAATGAAAAGCACCAAACATTTTAAGGCAAATATGGATTACTCAAGATAAAAATAAGTATAAACATTATAATGTCTAATTGCTTTGGTTTCAGACAGTGATTTGTGAACTTTTATACCATAACATGCATTATTACAATTAATTAGGAGTTCACTTACATAATAATAAATAAAAATAATTATAATTTAACTTTATTGATCTAATAATGGAGAAATTTACCTCTGCATTTAACCCATTCCCTTGGGAAGCAGTGGGCTGCCATTGTGGGGCACCCAGAGAGCAGTGTGTGGTTAAGGGTCTTGTTCAGAGACCCAGAGTGGCAGTCTGTGGGAGTGGGGCTTGAACTCAGAACCTCAGGAGTCCAATCTCTATGCAGTAACCACTAGGCCGCCATAAAAACTTCAGCTGATATTTCAATATGAAATATTAATGTTGTGACTGATAACATTAATCACCAATGTAATGAGGTGTGAAAAGCGCCACTCCCCTCATAATTTCTTCTTTTTTGTGTGCATGTTTGTCATATATATATATATAAGTAATACAGAAAACAAAACAAATTTAAATATTGGACTCATTACAAGTAAGAGCAGTTTTTTTTATTAATGGAGGGAGAAAAAGATCAAACCTACATGGCCCTGTGTGAAAAAGTGACATCCCCCTTTAAAAAACAAATGATCTGCTGTTTAATACCTCTGCCAAAGAGGTCATGTTTTTAGGAGAGCTAGTGTTTTTTCCTGTCTACAGGATAACTTGAAAATTTCTTGATCAATTTGAATGAAAATTTTATCAGAGGTGCGCCTCATGCCAAGGAACAGTCCATTTAAATTTAGTTATGATCCAGATCATGTGCGAGTTTTAGTTATACGTAGGTGTATTTCACAATTTGGGTCAACACAGGTCTGTGCTGTCGGAGTGCTTTTCTATTTGTGTTTACTTTCTCTTGCCATACCTCTGACTAAATACTGCCCTTATTTTTATTAATTCAAGAAATCAAACTTAAATAGGACCTGCCTGACCAAGTGAAGCACACTAAAAGGTCAATAAAAGATAGACATTGCACCAAAGAAATTCAACAAATGAGAAAGAAACAGATTAACATTTATAATGCATGAAAGGGTTTTAAGGGGAAATGTAAGAGACTCCAAATAACCACTGTGAGAGAAATTATCCACAAATGGCCAAATCATGGAACAGTTGTTAGCCGTCCAACACATGGCCAGCTGACAGAAATTACCCCAAAATTGCAGCAACAACTCATCCAAGAAACTCCTTGAAATGTATCTCTTAACCCAGACAACCTCTGCCACAATATTAAACTCAGTGTTTGTCCAAACAGCCTATATTAATAATAATAACCAATAATTTGAGTCAAGCAGGTTCTTTTATGCACAGGTGAAGAATACACAGTACACAGATTTGTGAGGGTCTCCCACAGTTACCAAGTTCCTACTGGCACTGAGGGTTGTTGAATTGGACTTTTGTTTAGGTCTTCGATTCTACAGGTACTAGAATGATCAAATCAGATTTCGTCTGGTAGTTCAGGCACTATGAGAGAAACAAGTCAGACTTTTTGGTCTCTTTTTCTAACCTTTTCAGGTCACTGATATTCTATGTCTATTAAAAAAACCTTCCTGTCTAACAGAAAGGATTATTGTGACTCATATTTGAACTCTGTTTTCTAGGTATGTCATGAATGTGACATTTGAAGGTCGAAACCTGTCATTTAGCGAAAAAGGCCACCAGATGTTTCCCAAGCTGGTCATAATACTTCTCGACAAGGACAGACAATGGGACAGGGTAAATACCTTCTCTTCTTCATTCCACCCTCTGACTTTTTCCCATCTCTGCATTCTGCTCCTTATCTGACGTGTCTCCTACTGCATTCAGCTTTGGAGTGTCTTCCTCTGCCACTTGAAAGCAATGTTTTGCAGTTGGCTGTGCATCACCAGCTCCCCCTCTGCAGGTTGGCAAGTGGGAAAGAGGCTCGTTGACGATGAGGTACCATGTGTGGCCTCGATTTGAGTTGTACTCTGATGTGGAGGAGCGGGAGGACCACCTGTCCATCGTGACTCTTGAAGAGGCGCCTTTTGTCATCGTGGAGGACGTGGATCCACTCAGTGGAACCTGCATGAGGAACACTGTACCGTGTCGCAAACAGCTGAAACTCACGTGAGGGATTTTCATTTTGCTTCTTCAGAAAAATAGGAACCTGTTTTTTATAAAGGCATTTTACTCCTTCGCATCCTTTCATCTTATAACGACTAACTTTAATGTATTTTAAAAGCTTTTGTGACCAACACACACTGTTTTTTGTGTTTATCCTCATTGAGGCAGTACTTTTCAGATTCAACCTTTGCTGCAATTACAGTTACTTGTTTATTATCTCAATTATTTTCTAATGGTTCTTATTTGTAAAATAGCTCAAGCTCAATTGAATTGGATGATCAGCTTCTGATTGACTGCGAAAAAGCAGTTTCCACAGGATGATGCTGCCACCAACATGCATTTTTTACCGTAAAAATTTTTAATTTTGCTTCACTACATGGAAAAAAAAAATGTTTTATTGTCTTTGATTTAACAATCATTTACAATGTAAATACGAAAAGTAATTGGTTGCTTCTATTTAGGGTGAAATATTCTGCAAAACTCTGTTTTGCGCATAATTTTCAGATTGCTATTATTGAAAAAGCTTTGGAACCCTGTTTTTCTCTTCTGTCAACTTCCAACTATAAGCCTGTCATAAAGAATAATACATTTATCAAGAAGAAATTTTAAACTTCAACTAAATTATTACTAATTATTACTGAAAGACATAATTGATTTTTCTTTGAGCCATTTGGTTGTGTTTGTGTGTGTAAATGTGCTCACAATCATTAGAATGGAGGATTGACTCTCAGTAAAATAAGTTGGAGTCTATTGACCCAATAAAGTAGCTAAAGTGAGTTTTCTTTCCTTTAGTTCATTAATTTAGATTTAGAATGGGAATACCCAAGAAGCTAAACAGCTTATAATCAGGGAACCAGAAATGCATGGAAAAAAACAAATACAGTTAAAAATGGTAAAATACATCTTTACAGAAACATCCAGAAAAAATCCAGAATTCTCATACCTTCAATCAGTCACACACTTCCACACAATTTGCATTGTGTTATGAATTTCTTCACACAAGTGCACATCACATTATGTAGGCTCGAGCACTTCATTAATCAGAAAACTTCATTATTTACTCATCACGCATGTTAAACCTTAACATCTAAACATGAATCAGTCATCAGCCATACAAGTGATTTTATTTGTAGTTTAGCAGTAGTTTTTTCTTTAAATACTTTTAAAATATGTTTAAAGATGGTAATTCTTTGATTGAGGTATCAGTGTCATTCCACTTATCTGCTCCCCTACATACCACACTAAAGCTGTTGACCTTCTGTATTCGATTTTTCCCTCTCAATGACATCTTCCCGACTGTTTTATTTTTGTGAGACAGAGAGGAAATTTGAATAAAGTGTTAAAAGCTAAGATTAATTTGATGTACTATATTAAACGTGATACTGTCAAGGCTCAGAACAGAGGATTGAGTATTCAAGGCAGGCGGTCATTTATCTCAAAGGGGTTTATTATTATTAAAGGACAGATTGGCAGCTAAGGCAGGAACCCCTGCAAGAGGGAAACACAGGTTAGTGGCCACGATAATCTGGCGGAGGAGGATTACGAAGGCGGAGCTAGGCAGGTGAATGAAATGAGCAATCCAGCCATTCATCAGCACGAAGATCATGTCAGACATGACCGTTGTGTAAACTTCTGCACTCTGAGCTTCAGGAGGTTGAGGCTGTAAAAGAGATGGTCTGAGGGGGCATTAAAGTGATAACACGCATGACCTTCTTCTGTAGTGTAATGTGACGATATAGATGTGAAGAGTTGACAATGTATGGTTGCTTTTTCGAGTCAATGAGTGCTTGTCAAAAAACAAAAAAAACAATTCTCATGTGTTTTTAAGTGAACATCTTTTTTTGGCTTCCCTTCGGTATTTAGTGCTGCTGCAACTTACTAACCTGACTCCGAAACCTTCCGTTGAAGTAATTTTGGGAAGGGGCGAAAATACTGGTTAGCTGATTGGCCTAATCAGCTAACCAAATAAACCAATCAGATCAATGAAGCATATGACGTACTAACAGAGCGACGACGAAGACGAGCCAATTGATAGATCAAACTCTTGCCGAAACCAGTCGGGAGAAGAGCAAAAACATCTTTTCCTCTGAGAAAAGCCTCCAGAGCAGTGTTTTGCTCTTCTTTCAGTGAAGAAATACTGTGTAATTCCGATAAAACTTGCTCGATAGCCACCCTAATGCTAGTTTCATCGGCTGAAGCCGCCATGTTCTTTAGACTGAACTGTCGCGCTTCTCGTTGCGTCACACCTCAACCCGCCTCAAAGCCAACGCTGATTGGACGTTCGTTTGGTGAACGGCTCCAAATTTTCTTTAACGGAGAGTCTCCAGACTAATCTGCGAGTGAAACCTTGAAAGCTCGCGAGATCAGGATGGTCTCACGAGGCTAGCAACTTACTATAATAATTCTGCTCCTCCTCTCACTCCTGTGATTACCTTGACTTGTTTCACCTCTGCAAAGTAGAACATTGACTTGGCTTCTGTCCCCCACCCCCTCTGTCATATTGATCCTCTCCCTTTTCAGCTGTCCTTTGACTGTGATAATGAATTTTCTTTTGTGGTCTCCTTTATCTCTGGCTTTGCTGAAATGTCCCACAGCAGTACTATATCTCCCCACTCTGTCTGTTTTACCTTTTATCTCAGATATTTTTCACCCCCAATGCTCTTCTTTTGACCCCCTCCACCACCTGTCTCACTCACAGCACATCAGACATAGGCACCAATATGCAGGATTATTTACAGATATAAATGTGCAGAGCCGCGTGGAGTCGTCTTCAAACGAAGAGCAGCATTCAATTGTTGTAATAAAACCTCATGTTTTACCACCAAGCTCCATTTCAGGAGGCAGCAACAGGAATAAATACATTTAACACAAAAAAACAAACACTTTTGTCCTTGCTCTGGCAAAAACAGCATCCACTAACTATACCAGCGCTGCTATTGTGGTATTCCGCAGCTGTTCTGCACCTGTATCTGCTGTGAGCCAACAGCCTATTGACTGATGACGCACGGCTAGGTTAGATGTTTGCCTTCCCTGAGATTTATTCTTAGACTTGCATTACTGTATGATTTGTATAGACGTATTAAGCATATTCACTTGTGTCAGAATAAAATTGGCATCTGATGATTTTGATGATTATTTAGAACAAATGAGGTAGATGATGAAGTGTTTGATAAGCGCCACTCTTTAATTAACTATAAAAGCAGCTGAGTCCTTCATATACAGATTTTAGATTAGAAAAGTAACAGCTGCATTCTGTCTGTAAAAGCATTCCCACCACCTGAACCCTTCCACATTTTTCATTAATTACAGCCTCAAACTTGTTAGGCTTCTATGTGGTAGATCGAAAAAACATGTTATGTAATTGTTAGGTGGACCAATACGTTTAAAAAAATGTTTCAAACAAAAAAAAAGTCATGTATTTGCACTTCCGCACAATTTACTCATATACATTCAAATAAATTCACATCACCACTTTTCCTTTAGCAGTCATCTAATTAATAAATGATTAATAAGTAAACTATGGCATAAGAAGTACTGCTTCTTATGTTGTACCAGCCAGGTAAACGTGTGAAAGAAAATCCTCTGGTTAGATTATAGTACAATTGGCATATTTGCAAAGTGCTGCACATAAGTCTAAAAACACTATGCCTATAGAGAAACATGGTGGTGACAGTGTCATGCTATAGGGACTGGTCAGAGTTAAAAGAAAGGTAGGTGGAGTTAGATTCTGGGAAGTCCTCGAACAAGTCATGTCGGTCACAAGTCTAGGAATGAGCTGAATACAACTAAGGATCTGTGACTCAGCTTTAGAGGTGATTACAACTGAATTTCCCACCCAGTCTGACTCACCTGTAACATTTTTTTAAAGGGGCTATATTGGTTTGTTTCTGGATGTGCAAAGCTTGTAGAGATGCTACTAGAAATCGTCAATCCCAATAAAAGGTGGTTGTACAAAGTATTAACTTGTGGAAATTAATAGGAATTCTTTTTGAAAACTACATTTTAAACAATAAATCATTTTTTCCACTTCATAGTTAAACACTATTGCATAAAAAAAGTTTATCACTGCATCAATCCTGTTTAGGTTTCATGCAATTTCTAGATTACAAGAATTAAACAAAAAATCCTGACTTCCCTCTTTTTTATTGTTGCCTTCATAAAAACTGACCTCCCATCTCTGCTTTTCTCTGCATTCCTCCTGGAACCAAACTGCAGCAATCACACAGGCGATTCAGGAATTTACATCAAGCGCTGCTGCAAAGGTTTCTGTATCGACATCCTGAAAAAGATTGCAAAAACTGTCAAGTTCACTTATGACCTGTATCTGGTGACCAACGGCAAACACGGAAAGAAGGTCAACGGGACCTGGAACGGCATGGTTGGAGAGGTAAGGACAGTTTTAACAAACCACAGAAAGTTTGTGTGTAAAATCTTAAAGGTAATATGGAGAAGAAAGGAGGCGTGTGTTGCAATGACAAGTTTATCCCCCCCGTTGGAGAAAAGTACCAGCTTCGCATCGCCTTTAAGCAGCTTGAAAATACCCAGAGTGACAGTTCAGGCAGACCTGCTGGCACACCAGCTGATTTTGGATTTCACAGCTGGCAGAGCACTGCAGCACACAGGAGATGTTACCATACAAATATTACCGAGCCACCCGAGTGACGCAACCAGCCAATGCACCAAAAAAAACACAAATGCGTCGTACGTTTAAACCTGCACATTCATTCCAGCTGCAATATTGTTCATGTAATCTGCAACACATGCCACGTAACTCGAAATGCATGGAAGGCTTTCTCAGTTGGAGCAGTTTACCATATGCTGGTGTGCAGCGAGCAATAAGCTGTTGTTCCAGGTGTAGCTTTTTAATTTAGCCTCAAGCAGATGTCAGCGAGAAACAGCACAGATGTGGAAGGACTCTTTCTGTGACAAGAATGCACGTGTATTACTGTGGCAGTGGGTAGCAGGCACATCACATACAGCTGCATTGACTTTTTTTTTATTCAGTCTGTCAAAGAAAATCTTGATCTTTGCTTCATTTTCTTCTGCATTTTTCTTCCTATGTTCCGAACATGCTTTTAAAGCCGTTTAAAGCCAGCCACCCTGAAACGTCTGACGGTAAAAAAAGTCCTCTCCAAACGCTTCAGCAGCCAGCCAACCGACAGAAAAGTATTTTTTATTCGCTATGGCTAACGATGCTGTCCAAGTATCTCTGTCTGTTAGTTCACCGCTGTCTCCATCAGCACATCTAGAACTTGTTTCCCACAGCCCGGCCTGAGGGGAAGCTTGTGATCAAATCCAGCAAACCTCAGGAGGACTCAATGAGGGTTCCTAATCAGAGACGGAACAGGAATACAAAGGACGTGGATTGGAGTGAAGGGGGGAGAAAGCAGCCTCGGGCGAAGGCCCGCTCCACTGCTGCACACATTAAGCAGCCGGCAGAGCTCAGCCGCCCTGCATAAACGTGCAGGCTGACTTAAATGATTGTGTCACATCTTAAAGTCTTAAGCTGATGAGGCATCTGCTTAGATGACTTAACGGTGTGCATGTTTTAAAGTTGAAATGGTAGGTAAAGGATTTTATTTGGACAGGGTAAAATAGACAACAGACTCAGAAAACAGTAGGAAGTTGAAAAAGCAAGCCTCAAGGTGTGAATGTGATGGAGCAACATCAGTGTGCAAGATTATTATTCTCTCTAGCATGTAGGGATTTTAATAACACAGTCGTTTGTGCTTCCTTTTTATTCATGGCCAGGGGCTCCGGAAACATTGAGCTAAATATACCTGAACACACTTAGAGAGGATGCTGGTAGACATTATTCCCTTTGCTTCTTTCTTCTAATGTGAAAAACCTGGAAATCACCTAATTGAGCTTGTTTTATGTTTTATCCGTTTCTCTGAATGAGCCCCTGTCTGTCTGACCCTCAGGTGGTGGCAAAGAACGCTCACATGGCTGTGGGATCACTCACCATCAACGAAGAGAGGTCAGAGGTCATCGACTTCTCCGTGCCGTTCATTGAGACGGGTATCAGTGTCATGGTCTCCCGCAGCAATGGCACCGTGTCCCCCTCTGCCTTTCTAGGTGAGGAAAACCACGTCGCAGTTTAAAACCCTTGTATGTTTTACCACTTAAAGTGATTTGCAATGAAAATGACAATAAAAGCCTCCACTGATTTGTTTTTTTTTAACACATTGTTGTTTTAGAGGAAATTTTAGAAACAATAAATGTTCCTGCAAAGAGAAACATGCATTTCAAACTCGTAGGCTTCAATCTGCTCAATACCTCCAGTAGAATGTCTTCTCCTGTTCAAACAATTTTATTGTGTTACACAAAAATAGCTAAGATTGTTTCTCAGCTGTTTGGTTGACTCTGATTTCATCACTGGTGCTAAAACTGAGCAGCAGTAAAGGATGTGTGAGCTTAAAAGAAACATTTTCTTGACTTCCAGCAGTATGACAGTTGTTTCATGGGGTGTATTTTATCAACTTTACACTGTTTGATGTTTTACTTTTATTCAGTTACACCACTTCCCATGCTTGTGTTGTTTTTTTATTTAGAAAACAATCTTTTCTTTTTCCACTTAAATCTTATTCCTTTGCTGTTGTAGACATCATGTCATTTAGATTTTAGTAGGGCCATTTGTAGCTCCCATCATCATTTTTGGGAGGCCCCTAACCAGAATTCAAGAATGCAGTGGCAGGAAGTGCATCTGGTACCTCGGCCTTTCAGTGGGCACTCCTCTGACTTAGTCTACTTCTTAATACCACAGCTTTCACATTTCAACATTTTGCTATAACTGACCAATCAGAGGACAAAATGCAGAGATTAAGGTGGGCCCACTAGCTAGCCCTGTGGGGCAAATTTAAAATCTGATTGGTTAAAGAAAACATCCCTTGCTTATGTCATGATTGTATCTAAAGCTCTGACCCACATGCAGAAGACCAAATAGAGAGACAAGGGAAAAGTTTAACATGTTTTATTGAGAGTGAATGAGATGAGTCCAGTGCTGCTCGGAACACTGTCGAACCGGAAGTTTCCAGAAAAAGGTGTATCTTGTTGAATCCAGTCGGTGTGGGCTGATCCAGTGAATGTCTTGTTCGTTGGAGGGAGGACAGGGTTTACCCAGATTGCGGTTTTTCTTTGGTGAATGGAGAAGCTGACTGCCACTTAGTTTTCCTGCGGTACTTGAACAGGTTATTGTGGAGATGAATCCCCTGCTCAGAGAGAAGCCCAACCAATCCTTGGGGGGGGGGAGTTGATTCAAACCACAAACTTGAATCCTCAGCTCAGTTTGGTGCTCAGAGAATCCTTCCAGGGGGGAGAAGGTCCAAAACATCCATTTTGCAGGAGGACTTCCCAAAACCAAACACTCTGGCGTTGAGGTAGTGGCAGTCAGCAGCTTAAGAGTCCTCCGTTAACAAGGTAACCATCCGCAGGTGTGTGAAGAGGCAAACCAGAACACGGCGCCGCCTGGTGGTGGAGGGTAGACAAACAAAAGCACAACCCACACAAACTGGATTCCTAACAGCTAATGTTTCTAAGTTTTCTTCAGCCATTGCTACTGATTCTGATTCCGTTGACATGGCAACACAGAGAGGCAGAAATCTGGTTGCACCAAAAAATCTAGCAACTATATATGTAATGGAAGAAGCGCAGCCAAGAGAAAAATCCAAAAACTAAGAGAATTGATTGTTGGGAATACATTTATACAGTTGCATAGAAAAAATACTTTAGGTCGTAAATTTAGGTCAGTTCTTCTGATGGATTTTAGGTCAGCAGAACATCCCCTGATTGCCCACCAGTGCAAGAAGACATAAACATGGTTTGGCAGCCCAGGCGGCTAATTCAGGTGCATGTTTATGAAATGTTAGGTCACAGCTTTTACAGACGAGAACTTAAAAAAAAAGTACCAATTAAAAACTTATGAAGGTTCAACACAAACATTTTTGCTTTCCTATTTGATGTAATTCAAAAGAGGATTGCACATTTTCGATGACTTTCACTGAAAATCAGACTTGTTCTGAACAGAAACTGGTTTTCGATTCCCATCCCTAAGTGAGTCATATCCATTTACTGTTTTGAAAATTTTAGGCCTTCATGTGCTATTTTTTGTTTTTATTGTTTTCTTGAAAGACAATAATGTATCTACAATGACTTACTGATTGGTTTTCTATGGCAATCAGAATGTTTTTCATCTGTCATTCACATATTGCAAGCTTAGTTTACAGTTAAGTAGATACATCTAAAGAATAAATTTATACAAAAAATATTTTGCAATTTTATTTAAAAAAAAATCCTAATCTTGAGTACTTTCAACTGGACATGTTTTATGGTAAAATATTTTGGACAACACTGCTGGAAAACATCTGGGTCTGACTCCTGTTCTTTCTCTGATCTAAAAATGTTAAAAACTCTGAAAAGCCTCTTGCATAGTATTTGGTCCTAGAGGGCAGGAGGTACTGTAGCTTGTTCGGACTTGGAAACACAGAGCTGGAAGGGTAAAAATATGGGCTCCTATAAATGCAAATTGATTTGCAAGTATTTACCCAAAAATACATGGGGATCATAATAATAACATTCATCAGCAATTTCACTTTTAAAAAACACTTTCCCAATAAATAACAAACTGCTAAATAAGAAAACAATAGCAAAACTAAACCATGGAGTGCCTTTAGATAAAAAAAGAATAAGGAAATAATCTTAAGATGTTTTAAATTTAAATAGTGCAAAAATATAAAAATGATAGAATCTTTGTTCAAGAGTCAATTAAAGTGAGAAAGATGTAAAAGTCTAGCTTGCAATTAATTAAAATTTGTATTTGTAAAATTTGTAACAAATACCTTTCTGTTGAGCTCTAAACTGAGACTTTTATAAATATTTAGACCTTTCAAACATGTCTTTTTTTCTCTGTTGTGATGAAAATCATTCATATAATAAAGTGTAACACTGCAGAGTAGTTGTCAAAGTGTATTAACCTAACAGCCTTGTTTGCATTGTAAAGTCACTGAGCTGAATGCAAAGCAACCAGAAAACTGACGTACTTCCTTAAATACATGTTTTATATTCACACCTGAATCCCTCTCTTGTAGTCCTGCTTGTCCTTGTTTACATTTTCTTAAACGTGACCAGAGCAGAGTCTGAATACCAAAATAATACTGCTGTTGGAACCAGAGGGTTTGAAGATGTTTTAACATGCTCCCCATGTTTTTACCCCAATGCCTATTCTCCTCCTCCTTCAGAGCCCTTCAGCGCTGATGTCTGGGTCATGATGTTTGTGATGCTGCTGATCGTGTCGGCCGTGGCCGTCTTTGTGTTCGAGTACTTCAGCCCTGTGGGTTACAATCGCTGTCTGGCAGATGGACGAGGTGAGAGGACACACACACATTCAGAAACACACAGCCGCACGTCTGAGACTGTTTAATACATCCTGCAAAAAGGTGGCAATGAGTAACAATGTCAAGCAATCTAATGTGCTAAAATGAAAATGGAGCCAGCTTCTTTTTTTTTCTTTTTCTCCTTGAATGCACCATTCAGGAAGAGAACTTCAGGTGCTAAATTACTTTGACAATCTTGTCTGAATGAGAGCCACTGGAGTGCTGGGAGTTTCTGCGTGATGTCTTTGAGTGCTTATCTACATTGACAGTCACTTAAGCTCTTTCACTTATGAAGGGGATCATTGACGAGAGTCAGATAGGTGAGCTTAAGTATTCTTAGCCTCGCTGTGTGAACTAGAAATCACCTGTTCTGACATTAGAATGTCTATTTTATTATGCTGATCATTTGCATTACACCAGTGTTACACCACTGGATGGATTTAATTGACTTAATGGCAATGGATATGGAATGGACCATTCTGTGAAAATATGAGTCAATTTATTCGTCTACAAGAAAAATGTCCATTGGATCAAAGGTTTTTTTTAGCAGGTAGTTAGATTATATTTGCTCTTCAGATTACTGGTTTAGATACAAAGCATTTTCCAGGAAACCATCCATCCATCCATCCATCCATCCATCCATCCATCCATCCATCCATCCATCCATCCATCCTTCTATCCATCCATCCATCCATCCATCCATCCATCCATCCATCCATCCATCCATCCATCCATCCATCCATCCATCCATCCATCCATCCATCCATCCATCCAGTGGTTCACTGATGAATTAAAAACCACTGATTGGTGCCTACCTATCAAGGATGAAAAACCTCCTATGGAAGCCACAGAGTGACATTCTACTCTTTCTGAAAGGAGTTAAAACATCAATCTCTGTCACTCTTGTCAGTTCAGCTAAAATAAATGATAAACACTTAGAAAATTTTTCCAAAAAACAGGACGCTCCTGGGCTGTTAGGACTTCTGTGAAGAATAAGAACTGCAGATAACTGATAGCAAAGGCTAACAAACAAACTAGTCTGGTCTACACTGCCCTGTTTCTAACATATTGGCAAAATAAACTTTACTCTTATAATAAATGACCTTACCTGTCAGCAGAAAAGCTGTGTGTCTGTCTTAAAAGCCTGATCCACCTGGTAAAAGCTATGCAAATGTAAACTCGTTTTCTCCTGGTTTTACTTCTTGTTTGTTTTCTTACCTATCACGTGACAAATAGTTCATATGGTCTTCCATTGCTACAGAAAGTAGAAGGTAGAATGATCTAAAGCCGTTTTTACTTTTTTAAAACTCCTTTACCACCAGTATCGGTTTCAGATACAGTTAAGAGGTAAACACAGAGATGGCAAAAGTACTCACTTTCCGTACTTGAGTAAAAGTAGAGATACTTGTGTTAAAAAATACTCTGGTAAAAGTGGAAGTACTGATTAAACTTCTTTACTCAAGTAAAAGTAACAAAGTACAGGCTTGTAAATTTACTTAAAGTATAAAAGTAAAAGTAGAAACCACTTTTTTCATGCCTTTGCCTACATTTTAAATGGATGTCTGCCAATAGGACTAGATCTCCGTTGTGTTCATTTTCAATCATCTCGTCGTCCATACTACTATGCTAACGCCACCAAGCTGCAATGATTTGCCGCCAATGAATCTGTTGATTCATCTTGTAGTGGTGCGTCAAATGCAACGTAGATTCCCATCCAATTAGATTGAATTTGGTATTGATGACATGAAAAATAATAACGGTAACTCCATTGAAATGATTCAAAACTAAAGTAACGAGCCAATTTTTTTTTAAATGTAAGGAGTAGAAAGTACAGATATTTGTGTAAAAATGTAAGGAGTAGAAGTAAAAAGTCGCCATAAAAATAAGTAGTAAAGTAAAATAAAAATATCAGAAAAATCTACTTGAGTACAGTAACAAAGTATTTGTACTTAGTTACTTCCAATCTCTGGGTATACACTAATAAGGTGTTCCCTTCTGGCTACGCTGACAAAAAATGGCAATGCAAGAGGACGTCTCCCATTGGGTGCACCGCCCCCTGTGTGTTTATAAGCTCCTAATTCTAAACTATGAGAAGGCTTTCATTTCTGATGTGGATTGTTGTTTCAAAAAGCTGAATCTGTTACACACTGTTCTTATAAAAATGGCCTGAAGAACACCAGAGAAGTCTGGGACTGTAAGTCATGGTGAAGAGCATTTTGACATGACAGACTTGTTGAATCATTGTTGTCTCCTCTGTACTTCTGCTCCAGCTGTAGCATAATTACAGCCTGTTGTGAGTCCATCTGCTGCTTTGCCCCTCTCACTTCCTCATCTGTGATGCCACATACCTCCTGTAGGTAGTGTTTGCTTCCTGACACCTTGTCACACAGCTATAGAGGCAGGTGGAGCAGAGGGAGTGTGTAAAGAAGGCTGTCACCGACAATGCCTGATCAGAGGGAAATAAAACACAACGATTCCCACTGCACCCCTCCCCTCCTGTCATTCTGTTCCTCCAGAGCCTGGAGGTCCCTCCTTCACCATCGGCAAGGCCATCTGGCTGCTGTGGGGCCTGGTTTTCAACAACTCTGTTCCTGTGCAGAATCCTAAAGGCACCACCAGTAAGATCATGGTGTCAGTGTGGGCCTTCTTCGCTGTCATCTTTCTGGCCTCCTACACTGCCAACCTGGCAGCCTTCATGATCCAGGAGGAGTATGTGGACCAGGTGTCGGGCCTGTCAGACAAAAAGGTGAGGGTTAAAGGTGAGGTTAGGGAAGCTTTTTGTATTACCATTTATGTAACCCTAAGCACTAATAGGCTAGTATAAGAGGTTCAGAGATTTAGTACATAGTACCACGTATAACTTGTAAAAAAGAAAACCTGGATTTTTTTTCTATACATCTTTATCTTTATTGTAGCATAAGTAGCTGTGTTTTAGCAATATGATTTTGTTTTTAGCTGACTGTCTTAGAAAAAAATTAATTTTACTGTCCAAACCAAACAGTTATTGCCAAAATAACCTAAACACAACCTGTGTTACTACAGGAAGGAAGGAAGGAAGGAAGGAAGGAAGGAAGGAAGGAAGGAAGGAAGGAAGGAAGGAAGGAAGGAAGGAAGGAAGGAATTAATTTTGTTTTAAATTGTTCTTTGGTAATTATATATCGATATAGGCGCTAATCACCCTGTTTCACTCTGTGTCGGATTGATACCAAAATTCATGGCATTGCTCATCTTTAAAGGGACACTATGCAACATTTTTCAGTTAATTAATGTGTTCCATAACGTTATGGATGACTAAATGAGTCATTTCAGGTTGAACAAAGGTATTCTCGGCCGCCCTGGTGGTCTGTGGGGGAAATACTGCACTTGCAACTGCAGGAGCACCGACCCGCACCCACAGGCTCAGAAGTCTCGTGAGAGTCAGTCTTGCTTTACGGCGAGAACTGCTACACCCCCCAGTTAAAAGCATTCTCGTTGCTAGCACAGTGGCAATCTTTGTGCAGTTATGCTACGTTCACGCAGCAAAAGCAGCAAAATCGCATCTGCTGCTTCATTTTTGCTGCTTGTACCAGTTAGTTCTGACGCGCGGCTGAAGCAGCTTTGCTGCTCTGGCTGCAAAAGTGTGTCTGAGGCGCATTGGGCGGAGCTTCACTATCCTTTCTCTGCCTTGCAGCTATATTTGCTGTGATCAGTGGGAATAAAGTAGTTTTAATATGTTTTTAAGTGAGAAAATACACCTGAAAACGTAATCAGTGCCGTCAGTTCATCCAGATTATTATCCTGCCTTCAATATTTTTTCTGTCGGAGCCGCTCAGACCCCCACATACCAGGGATGCGCCGACAGTATGGATCCCTTCATCAGCAGCGGTTCACCGCGGCAGCTGGTAGGTGTTTTTCATCTAAATAATCCAAACTGCATATTCTGCCGGCAGATTTCTGCCTTTTAAGTTAATTTAGGCGTCAATAAACTGTTTAAGAGCAGTGATCATGAGCGCTGTGTCTCTCTCCCTGCGTTAAACGCACCCGACGCGCTGCTGCAGCCGCTCAGACGTGCTGCGCCTGCAGCTCAAAACGCGCTGCGGGACCTTTGCATGTAAACTCGCTGCTTCTGTCGTGCCAGCTACATCCAGTGTGAACGCAGCGTTAGTCATTCGCTGCTAAGCTCAAAACAACCGCGCCTGGCTTGACGGAGAAACCAGGAGAACAGCTGAGCATATTTACGACAGTGCACTTTTACTTTCGCCCTCTGGAGGGAGCCACACTGGAAAATCAACACCGGTTGCATAGTGTACCTTTAAAGAAAAGATTGTTTTGTGGAATCAAATTTTTTTTTGCCTTGCTGTTCACACTTCCAAATATATGCGACTCGTATGCAATCTCCTATGTGAACTGCATTCATAAAGCTTAAGTGTCACGCATGCACAGCAGGACGCAATGACGCAAAAAAAAAATTGGATTTGAGTCAATTCAGTCTGCTGTGTGAGTGAAGCCTTAGAAATAGAGCAGCCTGCTTAAATTGAATTAAAAAAAAAAGCCTAAAGATATGTTTTTAAAAGAGACAAATTGGTCCAAAATATGTAAGAGGATTAGAACAACAGCACAAGTTAGAAATTTCTAAAAGCAGCTGGAAACTACATTTTATAGTGCAGGGAGGACATTACATTGATGTGTTTGTTTCGTTTCGTACCTGTTAACTAAAATTCATAGTAGAGTTTTAAGGTGAAACAATCAAACATATTGATTTTAGTGTCATGGTCTGAAACTATTTCGCTCCAGGACCTAAACATAAATCCTTCTGCAGAAAATCCTGTAGGGTAAATAAATAATTCAATCAATAGATAAATATAGAATGTCCAGCCGTCAGTTTGTGACGATAAAATCTTGGATGTTTGAGTTATGCTGCAGTCATAACTGTTGCAGCTCATACCTTATGATGTGCCTTTATTTATAAGATTATTTTAGATTAATTTTAAGCAGTGCTTGTCTCTTTAAAGACAAATAATAATTTTTGTTTCTCTATTATGGGTAACCGCTCCATGCTGGTTATTTAAGAAAAGATTTAGTTATTGAACTAGAACGAAAATGACAACAAAATCTGCAACCTTTAAGTGTGTTAAACATCTTTCGTATTATTTTGATATGGTCATGATCAATCCCAAAATCTGAGAGTGAGCTAGAGTAATTTCGTTGCCTAAAACTTGAGCTTAACTTGAGCTTCAGGGGCCCATTTGGTGCATTTGATTTTCCCAACTGATCCACAAAGACGTCAAGTTGCACCAAGAAATTTCACTTTATCTCTCGATTGTCCTTTTTTCAGACGTATGAAGGACTGAGTCCAATCCATTTCTCTGCTTGCATCGTTTCTAATGTTCCCTGGTGTGCAGCTTGTGCTCAGATTATCTATTTCTTATTACTGATACTCTAGGCTCTATCCTTTTCCTATCTGTGCTCTAGCAGCTACAAGCTCATCCTGACAGGTTTTCCTCTCCTTCCCACAGTTCCAGAAGCCGAACGAGTTCTCGCCACCTTTCCGGTTTGGTACGGTGCCCAACGGGAGCACGGAGCGCAACATCCGCAACAACTACAGAGACATGCACGCCTACATGACCAGCTTCCACCAGAAGAATGTAGATGAGGCCCTGTACAGCCTGAAGACTGGGTGAGGAAGGGACAACGAGATGGGAGGGGGGAGGGGGGTGCAGCGAGACAGATGGGGGATGCAGGGAAGGAGGGAGTTGAAAGGGTGTCAGCATAAATAAAGACACAGTGTTAAAGATCTGGAATGTTGAGCAGTGATGCAAAACAAAGAAAATCTGATGAAATGATGAAAAGCATGTGGGGGGGGGGTTAGAGGAAGAATATTGGGAAGTGCGAAGCTGCAGCCAGCGGGGATGCGCATCGGCCTCACGCTGGCATCCACAACAGCAGTGGAGCTTGTGTTTGCTTTATATCGAAATCTTTGTCACTCTTTCTCTGCCTGTCTTCAAATATTTTCATCAAGCTGAAGAAATTGGGAGGCAAAGCTGTGATGTTTCACTGCTGTTGAATGGCCACAGAGGCCTGAGGTGCCCTGAGGCGCATTAGATGGTTGCAGGAGAAGCAACAGACTCTTGTGTCAATCTGTCAACTGACTCTGGGTCAATATGTAGAAGAGGCACAATTTCCCTGAAATATATTGCACTTTATAGACTGGGCAAAGGGATCTTGGCTCTTTGTGCAGCAGGATTAAAGAATTATTAGAGTTTAACAGCAGGAAAAAAGAATAAAAGACTTCTGTTTTTGAGATTTCTTTGTACAGTGTTTTTTTTTATAAATTAAAATAAAACTCAGTGTGTTCTATTGGGATTTTAATGGGATAGATAATCTCATAATAGGTTTGAAGTGGAAGAAAATGAAGCCAATTTTTCAAATAGTTTTAGAAGGAAAATGAACTTGTATTAAGAACCCTTAAAGTTAACAATTTAAGGAAATTACTTTAAAATGTTATCAGAGCTGTGAGTCTTTTGGGGTATATCTCTTCTAACTTTCTCTGTAAGAGTAATAACATTCTTTTTCCAGTCCTGCCACAGGGTCTCAGCATGATTTAGGTCTGGACTGGGTCAGCCTTATTGTGCAGTCAAGCCAAATGCAATATAAGCTTCTAGTTTTTATGCAAAGTTGATGGTGAACCCGGGTCTCTGGGAGTCAAAAAGGCCCTGCAGCCACTTTCTTCCATGTGGCATAGCAAAAGATTTCAAGCATCTGACAAATGCCAGAAGTGGGAGATGCAGAGTTTGGAAGTTTTGTAGCTGGACGTGGAGTATCAACCTATCCAAAAAGCTGATTTGTGAGCTGGCTGTTAGACAGTCACTGCATCCATGCCATGATGCCCGCTGCAGAACTGTCAGCATAAAACTATAAAACATTTACATGAATAGAAATAAAGGGATTATACTCCAATACTTAGTAGAAGGAGAAATTAGCATGCTATGATCATTAGTGCTCCACTAAAAAGTTTTTTTCATAACTTTTTATTATTACTCTATTAATACCTCCATTAACCTAAAATGGCAAAACGTACTCACAAAAAATAGATGATTTTAAATTCTGATACTTGCAGTTTTTAACCACTTGCCCAGTAAGTGACTATATCGATCCTGGCAGTTTTCAAGTTATAAGCAGCGATAACTGGGAATTTTCAGTGCTTCTTACACACTTCTTTCTCACAATGGAGAAATTCACCCTCTGCATTTAACCCATCCCCTTAGGCAGCGTCTAGGGAGCAGTGTGGGATTAAGGGTCTTGCTCAGAGACCCAGAGTGGCAGTTTGTGGGAGTGGAGCTTGAACTCAGAACCTCAGGATTCGAAGCTCTATGCCCTAACCACTATGCCACCACTCCCCCTTCATTTTGGCCACAGCTACGCTGACAAAGCCAAGCCTGCCATAAACGGTTGCCACCAGGGCCTCTGACCACCATGACTGATTAAAATATTTTGTTACACCACTGGCTGAAATAAAAATGGCTTTTTGTGGTCATTGTCCTATTCCAAGTAAAGGCCGGTTTGTGCTTGATGTGCTGGTGAAGTCCTTGTAGCCAAATTTGTTTTAATACCCACACGCATTCGCAAAGCGTCTGCACAGCCTGATTCTCTGCATCGTATAGGTAGAAAAATGTGTAACTAACCAGACAGAGTTAAGAAGCTAAAGCTCCTACTGGCCAGTGTATATAAAAATCTAGAGACATCTTATGATTTGCTCCATAAATATAACCACGATAAACAGTACATGGCCCTCTAAAGTCAGCCGCAATATTAGTAGCATTGAAGGACGCATATTACAGCATTCTGTATTTTTCTCTCATGGTTTCAGTTTGTATTTCTAACAATCCCATCAGCTCTTTCCAGTTTTTCCAAATCCACACAGCACGATGCTGCCACCAGTTTAGGGAAATATGCAATGTTAGTTTTTCATGTTGCCTAACTGAAGATGTCCCTTTTTACCATGTTTACCTCCAGATAATACCTGCAGCTCCGCCAAACTTACCATAGTGTAATGGCTCAGAAAGTAGGATCCAGAATTCAGGCAAGACAGACAGTGGAATACTTAAAAAGCATTTATTCCGATAAAGACGTAACGGATCTTCAGTGGCGGCGGCTGTAGTGGTTAGGGCATCTGAGATAGGAACATCTATCATAGAGAAACAAATGTTAGTGACTGCGATAATCTGATGGAGGATGATTATGAACGCATGAGTCACTAACCTGGTTTGATAGTTCATTCCATGAAGAGAGAACAAGGACGATTCCAGGCGGTCAGCTGAAAAGACGCAGCAGACGCAGCCTGCAGAGAGTTCCAGATGCGGAAGTCTAGAAGGCTGCAGAGCTGACAGAAGATCAGAGATGAGCTGATGAAGGAAGGCAGGATAATCCTAACGGCAAGAGGCAGAACCAGGTTCAGTCCACAGAAGAATCCAACAAGAGTCAAAAGACAGGCCAGGCAAACAGATCAGACAGCTGCAGGCAGGCTCAAAGGTCCAAATACAGAAACGGATCAGGATCAGGCAATCAGAACATAATGGAGACGCTAAAAAACTCTCAACACCAAAGGCTCAAGAATAATGTGGGACTGATGGCTGGGACCAAAGAGCTTAAATAGAAGCAGGAGCAGGTGGATCATATATGCAGTAACGAGGAACAGAGCAGGGCTAGACAGGTGAATGAAATGAGCAATTAAGTCAGCCATCAGCGCCAAAATTATAACATATAGGTCTCTTGGTGTGGATGGATTATTTTGGCACACAGCTCATGTGTCATACCCTCTTACTTGAGGGTGTAAACGATGGCCTTATGGACAGCAGTCAGGTCGGCAGTCTTACCCATGATTGGATTTTGAGTGATGAACCAGGTTGGGAGTATTAAAGGTCTCAGGAATCTTTTGCAGTGTTTAGAGTTAATTTGTTGATTCAGATGGTTAGGTGCATAGCTCCTTTAGAGACCTTTTTCATGATATGCTAATTTTTTGAGATAGGAATTTTGAGTTTTCATGAGCTGTATGCCAAAATCATCTGTATTAAGACAATAAAAGACCTGGTTTATTTCTGTTAGTGTGCAATGAATCTAAAATATATTAATTTTCAAGTTTTATCATCACATTATGAAAAATAATGAACTTCATCACAATATTCTAATATTTTGAGAAGGATCTGTATTTCCATATTCAGATAATTTTCACAAAGCTCTGTGAGATGTTTAAAGTTAGCAATATAGTTTTATACCTTAATTGCTTCAGACTACCTATAAAAACCTTATTTTCTGAAGTGTCTGCTGTGGATCTTGGTCGTCATTAAAGGAATAGTACACCCAAACCAGATGAAAGTGCGCATTCAGCGTCTGCTCTGCCGATAATGCAAGCGTAGAAGAAGAAATGTGCTGTTTACCTGTGCGAAGAAAGAAACAACGAAAGAAAAATGTCTGAGGACTTCAGTGTTGAGGAAGAGCATGAGTTCTTTGCCGAGCTGAATGCGCACTTTCGTCTGGTTTGGTCTGCCGCGGTTTCCGTAGACTCGTGAACGCGCTTTTAGGAAATCCTATACACTACTGTTTATGCTCTAAAAACATTCTAAATGACTTCGTTTCGAGTAAATTATGGCCGCTACCCACTCAGGACACTTGGAATACATTGGACGAGCAGCATGGAGGAATATTGACACGTTTTTTGTGGACTTTTATGGACCTTTCTGCCTCGGGGGGCCATATACCTCCATTATTTGAATGTCAGCAGACAGCAAGAAGCCTCCCAGATCTCCAGATGCATTTGAGATATCAAAAAAGTACTCCAGAGTGTTGTTCAGCATGGGGGTGAGTAGAAAATGAAGGCTAATCATGTTTTGGGTGTACTATTCCTTTAAGTCCCCCAATAACAACCAAATTGAACACTGGTTGCTGGGAGTAACCTAGTGAATTTTAAATGAAATTTTAAATGATCTTTAATTTTAAACTATTGAATGACTGAATACTTTAAAATTTCATTAGTTGTAAGAAATCCTCATAATCAATGATAGAATTCTTCTCACTACACCATAAGAGGGATAGATCAACTAATTGTGTTAATCTATTACATGATATCCCAATAAAATACACTAAAGTTTAAAGCATTACAAAACGTGAGAAGTTAGGGACATCAATTATTTTTTCAGAAGACTGGATGTGAGTGAGTGTTCTTAGTGGAGAGCTGTGGATTTTAACTACATGAAACTGATCACCATGACAGTATCTTTACCAACACCATGACAACAGAGCAGCTTGAAATAGACAAAAAGAAAAAGAAAGACATGAACAACGTCAATCAAAAAGTAAAACTTTAGTGAATTAATCACACGGAGTGTTATTTTTCATGTTTTGTGCTGTAAAGTATATTTACATTCAATATTTGGTAATCATCAGCGCAGCATGGCAGGGATCTATGTCACCCTATAGCTCTGCTGAGGTTTTCAGGTGCTGCTTTAACCTCTTACACCCTCAGGGGGTATAAATAAATTTCTGCCTGACAAAAACACACAAAAGTAAATCACTTATAGCCTCACAGCTATTAGATTTAAGAAGAAACTTTTGGTACCTCTGTAAAGGTAAGATGTCATAGAATGGTTTTCTGGTGTCAGCACCATTGTAGCTTTGACCCTGCCTGAAATATTAGGGACAAAATACAAAATATTTTGCAGTTTTTTGAAGCTCGCCAAAATTTTCTTTGAAATAAACATTGCAAAACACTACCAAAATATTATTTATAGCACAAAAAAGTAGTACAGACTTTTTAAGTAAGACTGACTTAATGAAACTAGCTTCTACATGAAGCTTGTGAGCAAAAGAAGGCATGATGTACTGCAGTGTTTCACTGTGGACCAACAGCTGCAGGTGACTTGGCTTCTTGAACCATCAGTAAGTTTGGAAACTTCACACTTTACATCAAGCATTGAATTAGTTTTGCTTCACAGTCCTCTTAATGCTGTTTTATGTACAACTTTTCTTACAACACTTTTTCCTTCCACTAAACTTTCCATCCTTGTTCTTGAAAACATTTGACTTTTGAGCTGTTGTGGCCTACCCTGCTTGTAAAGGTGTGCTGGGTAAATATCAAATCAGCAATCTTCTGTGGGATTGTTTAGAACATATAACAGTATAGCATGACTGAATTAAAATATCTTATTTGGGGCTGAAATGTATAAACCGAAATTATAAAAACTTCTTAATTTGTCCATGCTGTCTTCCCTTCCCAAGCAAATCATTTGACAAGATACTGCACATTTGTTGAAATGGTGCTTTAGGGTCTAAACCAACTGTTTGGTGCCCTCTTTAGGTTAGAAAGCCCTACTGCTTCTGATTTTTGCTGTTGGCTCAGCCGTGGATGTGACATCACCAAGAAGCCCGGGGAGTTCCTTTCTGTAGACTCGCTCCTCCCACAAACAATGATTCACTTACAGTTCCAATATATATATATGTTTTTATAGTCCACATTAAAACCCAAGACTGTGTCTTTAACTGGTACGGCTCAGGGCTGCCGGTCTACTCCAAAGAAACTTCATCTCTTCCCCCTATTTCCTCTGTTTTCTGATGTAGACCGTGGAGACAATCAATCACTCTGTAGCAAAAGTATCATCACTGTGATTCCTCTGCTCACCATGTTTGTGTTGCTGTTGCCAGTTTAGTGCACACATGTTCTGATGTCCTCTGAGTTAAACTTTTCTGGCAGCAATTTTCAAATATTATATGTGGGTCCCAGTAAGTTTCTGGAGGGAAGTGAATTGTACTTTAAATAGATAACACTGATGGTGGCAAGCTGCATTGTAGCCACAGCTGCCCTGGGGCTCACTGACAGAAGTTAGGCTGCCGTACACTGGCGCCGCCAGTCCCTCCAACTACCATCAGTAGGCAGTGATGGTGAAGTGTCTTACCCAGGGACATAATGACACTGAAAACAACTGCTGGGGCCTGTTACCCTACTATATGGTAAGGTTTTTCTTGTCTCCAAACAACTACAGAATTATCAGATTTTTGTTTGATCCAGAATATTTTCAAAGTATTTTGTTGTTTTTCTTCCAGAAAACTATTCTTATTTAGGAAACTCACATTAGAGAGGAAGCCCTTAGGGATGAGGCACTCAGGGAAGGTGTCAGATAATGCAAACCAGAAGGAAAGGGAGCTGGGGATATACAGACATACAGACAGGGCTCGATGTTAACCATCGCCCGATCTCCCAAGATCGGGCGATGGTTAACATCATCAAGTAGTTTTTTTCATTGTTGGGAGAGTACAAATTTCATTGCATTTGCCCGCCGGGCAAGTGCAATGCTCGCAAAAAAAGATTATTTATCACTCAAAATTACTTTAAAATCACCGACATTCAATGAAAATGACCCAGAAGCGTTGCCGGTGCCATTTTTGTTGTTTTGTACAGATTCTGATTTAAAAAAGCCGGGTGATTTTCCACCAGATGGCGTGATTTTTGTCCACTTAGCGGTAATTTTGATGTAGTTACCAAAACGACAAACGGCTGCATTTATTTTGTCAGGGAAAATTAATCCTGAGTCAGTTAAAAGTCATGATTCTCTAGAAAAGTCACATTATATTAATAGTATTATCTTGTATAAACATACCATGACTCTAAAATAAGTTATTCATTTGTGACACTGACTTCCGTCTTGTGATTTATCTTAAGTTTTTAACCTGTCAAGTTTTTTTTAGATTTTTGACATTACAATTTATATTTTTCCAAGCACACAACAGTTTAAAGCAAAGTTTAGTTTGAAAAGAATGTGCAGGAAGGATTGAAAAGCATGTTAACACGGTTATGTAGGCTGAAGTTCATTATCTGACGCATGCATATACACACCAGGAACCTGGAAACTTAAAAAATACTGAATTACAAAAAACATTTAAAAAACAAACATGTTTCTTTGATATATATACAAAAATGAATATTAGGAACTATATTTATCAAACATTATACTGGGCAAGTAAAAATTGTTTCTGGCCAAATGAAATGTGAAAGTCACTTGCCCATAGGGCAGGTGGTAAAAATCCTTAACGTCAACCCCTGACAGATATTAGTCATAATTGGGTAACTTCTACAACTAGCTGGCATCTAATTTGCTTCAATGTAACTCTTGATACTGTAGGCATCAATGCATATGTTGGTATGTATGTAGGCTAATATGCATCAGCCTGAGTGGGAATTGGAGAGGTAGTCTACTAGTGTTTAACTATAGCATGAGTGGTTCAGCTGTACTAGCACATATTTATGGTCTACAGGAAATTGGATGCATTCATCTACGACGCTGCAGTGCTGAACTACATGGCTGGCAGGGATGAGGGCTGTAAGCTGGTAACCATCGGGAGTGGCAAAGTGTTCGCCTCCACTGGCTACGGCATCGCCATCCAGAAGGACTCTGGCTGGAAACGTGCTGTGGATTTGGCTATCCTGATGCTGTTTGGAGATGGTAAGGTTGGACAGTTTTGGTAACACACGAGTAAAGACCAATAACGCTCCACCGAGGTCTAGAAACACCCCTTATTTTTTTACATTTTACTCTCTATAAGGTTGAGTGTTTTGTATTCTTCAGTTGTGGTCTCAAAGTCCATAGAAATGTTTGTGTTTGGTACTTTAAGTTTACATATTTTCAGTCAAGTACCTTAACATGTTCAAGGTTTATTAATTTGTAGCCAGATTTTGAGCTGTGAATCATTCTGACACACAGAAGCTTAGCAACAAGCCACTCTAAACAGATAAAAATATGTGTCCAATTCGTTATGAAAATCATGTAAAATGTACCAAACATCATGACAGCCAGAAAAAATACAGTTCTAATAAGATGACTCTAAAGAGCTATTACCCTAAACCTTTTTATACAGTAGATGATCCAATAAATATGGCGTAGCATTAGGGTAATACTGAGTCATTTTATTGGTATTATGAGGTTAAAATGATGAGACAGTAAAGTAATTTTAATAATAAGAGGAAAGCTTTGATAGAGTGAGCTAAGCTCACCCAAACTGAAGCAACACTTTTTATCTCATGGGGAAGGCTGTCTTTTCTCCAGACAGTTACATTAAGACTACTTTTTCAATCTTGCAATATTACGACATTATTCTTTAAAAAACCTCTATGCTCGTAATTCTAGGACATTATTGTAATGTCCTAATAAACCTACTTCTGACTTTTGTCAATTAATATGTATATATCTTAGTGTGGCCCTAATACTGTAATCTGTTGTAAATTAAATTCTGGTGTGCTGATTTTTATTTTCTTTGTTCCTGAAAACTACTCCAGATATTTTCATTAGCTGTTTTCATTTTATTTTTGTTATTTAGTCTGCAATGAATTATTTTCCTCTCTACTTATTTAAGAAAATCCTTCCTAACTCTAACTCTTTCATTCTGTTTATTTATATAGTGGCAATTAATAACATATATAATCTCAAAGCACTTTATAAAGACAATTAAACCAGATTATAGAGTCAGCTGGTTGCACAATGTTCTGTCATGGTCAGTTAAAAGGGCTGGACTGAAAATGAGAGAAAACTGTGGCTGGTTTCTTATCTATTGGTTTCTTAATGCTTCAGCCTATTCATTTAAAACAACATTTTTTTTAGATTTCTTATCTGGCTTGATACTTATCAGTAGGGTTGTGTCATAAGGACATGAAAATATACCACAAAGAAGCCTTTCATATCAGTTTATATCCATAATTATTATCAATTTTTCTCTTATTTGAAATAAAGACCAGGGGGGAAAAGGCCGACATTAAATTGTAACCCTAAACCTATTAAATGTTTCCTGTAGACAGAGGTTAGCCTACCTTACTTATCTTGGCAGTGACTTCGAGAGGCAACATTTTTTCTTCCCCTGCAGAAGGCGGTGAGGTTCTGGGTCAGTGTTTAATGAAATTGAAAAAACTTTCAGTTGACGTACTTCTGTCAGTATTGATCATTCTTTTATTGCCCACGCTAATTCTAATGGCATTTTTTTCAGCAGCCTTCCCGCTGTGAGCAGTGATTAATTACTAATGTTAGACGTAGAGCTGATGTCTCTCTGTGTGTGACGGAACAGTTTCTGTAACCTGGGATATTAGTGTTATTTTAAACGGTAACAAATTATTACGGCTCCAGGTTTTAATGATTAGGATTATTAGTTTGCTTCCTGTTAACAGCCGTATGCAAGCAGAAAGCAGATCCTTATCTCTGAGATTTGACTAATTCCTTCATTATTTACAAATCCAACATGTTCAAGAAGCACAGAAGAGTCAAACTGATCTCTTCAGAAAACTTGGAGGGTGGAATAGAAATAAAGCTCCTGTCACACCTTGACGATTTAGCCAGCATATGCCCTGAAGTATTAAAAAAAATCTAGCAAAAACGCTGACATATGTTGTATAATTGATGGGTATGTGAAGTACTCTGAAGCACAGCAACATACGGCAAGTATGCCGAGAAATTTTGAAGATGCACATTGCTGTCCCCCTCAGGACACTGACTTGTGACATTTCATGGGCATTACTCTGCCGTCTGTTATGCATAAGTTAGGCATTGAACATTAGTTCTGGACTCGTTATGAATAATCTGCATACGCCCAAAATCGAAAAAAATACGTACTTAGAAAGTCCAGCGTAGAACATATTGGGACGTCAGGCATACGCTGGCTAAATCTTCAAGGTGATATATCTGAAGTTGAAACACAATAAGTTTGAAGATCCATGTGTTGTAGCATAGAGCTGCTTGATCCTCTGTTTTCAACAATGATTATTTTTGAGTGTATAGAGTTTAGAACCACATAAGGAAACTTCAAAGGGTAAAAGGGCAGCTCTAAATGTTTGGAATAATAGGACCGAAGGACAAACTGTTGATGGATAACTCCTGAGCCGGGCTGTTTCTGATCAGTGAGCATTTAACAGTGATGTAACAGCAGACCTCTTTTTATTGTAGGTGTAAAAGCTATAATGTAGACTAACTGTGAATATTTAGCAGCTCATGAAACTGTTTGAGAAAATGTTTTTGACAGACATAAAAAATTGATTAAATTAGCCAGAAGGAGCAATCGTAGGAGAAACCCTTGTTGTGCGTATGTTTCTATACATTGTTGCTCTGCTGATTGAAAGTCAGTGTCATAAAGATTTCAGAAACAGCCTGCATATGTTGGCAGGATAGCATGGGAAATAAATCAGTAGGGGATACGGGAAGCAGATACTTATCTGGTTTATGCTGCAGCATCTCAACAGAGAAGTTGGACTGAATTTTTCAGGGAAGTAATTTGCTCCTTCCTTTGTTATCAGTTTCTGTCAGCGTTTTAACTATTACTCCACCAGTTTGATCACTCTCACATTTTCTTCTCACTAGTTAGAAAACTGGGTTCCTACAGTCTGGAAAAATCTTAAAAAGTAGAGAATTTTATTCACACTGAGAAGTAGCAGATTGGTGATTTTATGATATGAAAGTTTAGTTTGTGTGTGTATACCTACATAAATATATGTGAAAGGGAATGAATAGATGTTAGATTTTTTTCCCCACCACAGCCGCAACGAGTAAGATCTTTTGGAGAAAGGTGGACCTTGACTGGTGTGTATTGAACAGATTAATTTACTTTAAAGTAGACATTAAACTGTTGGTGCATTTTTTTCTTCCTTGTATAAGATCATATAAATAGAAATATATATTTGAAAAATATGTATTGATCTAAAAATGTCAGAATCTTTAAGCTTTTAGAGCAGACAATATTTTCACAGACCGGGGGGGTAAATACGATCAAGTAAAATGATATGACTGTCATAAAATGAAATACAAACAGCAAAAAAATAAAACTCACCATTATGTTGAATTAGTGGGAGCCCTGAGCTTGTTTCTCTGAAACAAGCCGGTCGCATCTAGGCGTAAGGCGAGACAATGACACACGAAGTGTGCTCCTGATGTTCAGTCTGCTCCGTAGCTTTGTTTTGGTTGCTGTAACCGCAGAAAATCCAGCTTCCCAAAAATATGATGTTATAGATAGGATGAGTCTTGAACTGAATTAACCTGTGTCAAGAGGCACAGATGCACCGACTGATGTAATTGGGAGAGAATACCGCAATTCTTTCTATTTTTCAAAATAAAACATGACTCAGACTCTGATCGTCTATAAATTATATATATATATATATATATACACACACTTTTTTCTGTGCGGACCGGTACCAAATGATCGACGGACTGGTACCGGTCCGCGGCCCGGTGGTTGGGGACCGCTGCTTTAGAGTAAAGGTGCAGAAGATAGACTTGGTCCTGACCAAAGTAAAATACTCCCCCATGTTATGTCATCCGGGTCATAGTCATTCCATGAGATAAGGATACACAAGGCTGTAATATAAAATGAGAAGACATTGAAGTGACAAGATGGCTAACTTTCCTATTTATACCAATTGATTTGTTAATGTTCCTACTAACACAATCAACCTGCTCCAACTTTCATCAATGATACTTTGTAAGAGATACCTATGGTAACTTAGCAGATTCAATTTTGATCAGAGTTAAATCTTTATCATGCGACTTTCTGACTCTAAAAATAATCAGTCATTTTTTTTTTAACATTCAAAGATAACATATTTAACTTTAACCATACAGCATAGTAATAATGTAATAAAGATTGAGTGTAGAGCTAGCGGTTTGTCCTCTGCAAACATAATTGATGAAAGCACTTTTGTAACATTAGGCAAGTCATTTTTATCAATAGGGAATAACAGTGGTCCAAGAATGGTCCCCTGTGGAACTCCACATTGTAAATTAGCTCTGCTTGAAAAGTAACCCCTAATGGAAATAAACTTAGATCTATTGGAAATGTAATTTGATAAACCTTTTTAAGAGACATTTCTGAAACCATTTCTGTATAATTAAGCTAACAAAATCTCATGATTTACCATATCAAATGCTTTTGAAAAGTCTAAGAGCAGAAGTAAGCAGCAGTTAACTACCAACTGGAAGGATTTTTGCAAGAACCATATCGGTCAAGGTAAAGAATTACATTAGAGTCTATACAAAAACAATTTCGCTTATGAAGAGTTTTTTCTTTATTAAAAGAAAAAAGAAATTTAAAAGCATGGTAGATATGGGTCTAGGGTTGGTAAAAAAAAAATAATAATAATAGTAAACAAATAAAGTGGGGTGGATTATCAGCTTTGTATAGAGGAAGAACTTTTACTTCTTCCGGCAGACACGCCTTTTACAGACAACTGTAAAATGACAAATTTAAGACATTAAATAATTTTCAGAATATTATAACCTCACTCTTTGAATATATAAATACTTTTAGGTTTACAGTGTTTTATTTTATTTTATTTTTTTGCTTTTTGTTTGTATTTTTATGGTTTTTTTTCCCCCATTTCTCTTCTTATATATTTAATAAATTCAGTTCAGTTTAAGTTCAGTTCAATGATATGATAAGATGAATACGATTTAATTGATTAAATGTATATTGG